CTCCTCAGCTCACAGTGAGTGAGTAAGAACTTATATGTGACTCTTCAATGACATTTTGTCTATTTCTCTGTTCTTTGCTGAATGGAATGCTGCTTTTTAAAAATTTTATTAGGCTGATATTATGAATTTCATGGATGTGACTATGCTCAGACATCCATCAAGGTTTTGTCAAAATCTTAATTTAGACCTCAAACTGATGCTTAAAGATTATTTGTTGGAAAAGGGCTGCATTAGGACAATGAATGTACAATAACTAAAAAAAAAAATGATCTTCTTCTGGAGGAAGTCCATTTTTTTTCTTGGTCAGAGATTTCTCTCCCTAATGAAAAAAATATCTTAGCCCATGACATAAGGTCTGGAGTCCAAAGCAATATATTATTATATTATGGATCCTGATAATTTTACAACAGTGAAAAACTGGGAAAAATGAAAAAGAAGCTTTACTAAGCTAGAATTTGTAGCTGAAATATGCATTCCTCTGTGGATTTTCTATACAAAATAAACATTAGTGTTTTTTTTTTCATACCAACTGGTTTAAGGCTTAACACTTCATCAGAATTTGATGCATAGCTACAAAAAGATGGTTGATAAGAAGACGAAAAAGACATTTGACTTTGTCAGTATTTTTTTAACCTTCCCAATACTGAAATTGACCTTTTTCATCTTAATAACTAGTTGTTTGGTGAATGTACTTTTTATGCTTTTATGCATTTTTTTCTTCGAGACATTTGAGGAAATTGCAGAAATAGAACAGCATTTTTCTTTAGAAAACAGCTGGATGTCACAACAACCATTGTGAAAGCCAAATCCTTCTTTCTGTGGCATTCTATAGAGCAGTTAATCAGAGGGTTCTCAAGCCAGTAGTCACTCATTACACTGTGGTTAAGATGTTTTGCAAAACTGTTGGCTTCAAGCTAACATTGTGCCTTTTTGTGAAGTGTTCCACTTCAACTTGAGAGCACAAGATCCATGTTGGAAAAACACCTGGAACACTTTGCCAATGACTAAACGTCGGTCATAAGGCTCAAAATCCATCCTTCTTAAGCTCATGTCACACTTTTTTCATAACTTGCCATGTATGCTTTGAGAAACAGACATTAGAAAGTAAATAAATTGGGAGAAATTAAAAGGATTTTGTTAAACATCAGCCCTGTCACATTTTTAAATTAAGTGTGTTGATCTTGGTGCATTCCATTTCTAAACACTGCATGTATACTGGGTGTGCACTTCACTGCTTTTTAACCAGTAGGCCCATACTTTTCTGGGACTGTAGCTGTCCTTTTGTGGTTTTTTGATACTGAAAGGAGTGATAAATTTAATTTAACCACTAAGTGGGCTGATAAGCACTACCTGTAGACTAAAACAAGATGTGTGCCCTGCCTGCAACCTTGCTCCCTTACCCAAAAATCTTAAGCCAAGTAACATCAAGTATCATTATACATTGGTTCCTTTTCTTTAGTTTCTTCTTTTATGGCTATAACAACACTGCCAACACTATACTTAAAGTAGTGTCTATTTTTTGGACTGCATCTGTCATCTGCACATAACCAAACTGTCTTAGGCTCTCTATCTCTCTTGTCCTTTTGTTTGTGAAAATTGTCTCCCCACTCGTGCTACATCTTTAAGCACTTCTCATTGCGTGCACTGCCCAGATGGAGAGAAACAAAGCATGTGCACCCTTCCAAAAATCTATAAATAGCTAATTTAGGGATACTGATATTCTGGCATGGGCACACCTACAGTAAATCCCACAACTGAATTTAAAGAACAGTATTATAATGATCATTGGACAATTAAGGGTGTAGGACTAAAACAACAACAGGCATACAATATAATAAGAACACAAAAACACAACAACAAAAACCAGTCCTAAGCTTATTGCAGTTATCACAGGTCCAAGGACCACTGACTTTTTTTCTAACTTTTTTTCCACTACAAATGAACTGTCAATTAAATTCAAATCAGAAAAGACAGCTTTATTTTTTAATACGATAAACAGCTTTAATTTCTCTCGGTAGCTCCTTAAGAAGGCACTCCTTTGTGCACCAGTTTAATACTTTTTAATCTATCAGAAACTTCTGGAAGATGTTTATTGATTGGATAGTGATCATGAGTTCATTTTTTCCACATCTCAAATGTTCTTCTTTCTTATACTGAATTAGAAATTAGGAGGAGTTGCTCCTCTAAGCTAAGTAATCAACTGAGACACATTCCCTTAGATTTAAATATTGACGAATAATAAAAACTCACTTTGACTTTCAGAGTAAACATTGTACAAAAGAAAAAAAAGGTTAAATTTAGGTATAGAGAACAGCAGCCTCTATTTTAGACACACAAAACGCTGTGAAAACACCAAGTGACACTGCCAAACACCTTCAGTCACTCCTGCTTTAAACTGTAAGTTGAACTATGAAATGAATGCATTTTTTATTTGACTTTTATTTTATGTTCAAAGAATGTTTTGCACCATTATTTATAGATTTTTTTTACTGGTTTTGCTTTTCTCCATAACTATTTACATGAGGATCACTGCTGCAATTTAAATGCTAATGTTCATTTCAGTGGAAGCTGTAAGCAACATAATTTTGTTTTGTATACACTCGGTGTATACAAAAATTACAATAAGGTTCTTTTAAGGCACAGGCTTAACTTTCTGAAGGACTCGTGTGGACATGTCCTCACAAATAATTCCAATACATAGCATTTTGCTCTAAACAATATGTGGGACAAAGTTGATTTTGCTGCTTTTAAAGGAAGATAATCACTGATGTAGCTGAAAGGGAAAACATCCATCAATCAATCCACATTTTTCTGGATGGATAGATGGATGAATGAAACGGAAATTGTTTCCATACTAGGAAGGCATGATGTATTGCTTTTGGCATCGGAATCGGCTGTTATCCTTTTTTTATACATTAATGTTTAACTACCTATTAATATAAATATCATTGTATTTTGGTTATTTTGTGTTCTCAACGATAGGAAAGCATTCAATAGATATATGTTTGAGCTCATTTTTGGAAAATACAAACCCTATTGAAAGTGTTTGTGTCGAGTAACTTTAGATCCATCAGCCGTCACCCTTAGAGTGTCCCCACCAACTTCCATTACAAAGTTACACCCTTGATAAGTATGGAAGAGGATCTGGGCCACTGAAAAAATAGAACAAGTTAACTGATTTTTTAATTTTATTTCAGTATAATATGAGAAAAAACTCAGAATTCTGACTTTAATCTTAGAATTCTGACTGAATTCTGACAGCTAACAAGCATGTTATGTTTTGATCACCTTTTGCTCTTCTATTAATTAAATAGCATCAACTGGGACCCCTCGGGCATGTAAAAAAGTTGCCTAATTCAACCGTTTTCCACCAATGTGTTACTGGCTCTCTAAAACAACTCACATCTTTGTCAGTGAAGCTGAGTGCTCCCACATCTCTTCCTTCATGGTGCCCATCTACATTAAGATCCACAATTCTGAGATTAATGTCAGAATTCTGACTTTTTCCCATGTTAAACGGAAATAATATTTAAAAATCACTTAACCTTTTTTTTTTCCAGTGGCCCTAATCTTCTTCCATAGACAAGGCTATGTACAGAGGTGTAACGAAGTAACAAAGTACAAATACTTTGTTACTGTACTTAAGTACTCTTTTTAGGTATTTATACTTTACTCCATTACTTATTTTTCTTCCTACTTCTGACTTCTAGTCATTATATTTTCACACAAGTATCTGTACTTTCTATTCCTTACATTTTTAAAACAATCATTACTCATTACTCTTGGCTTTCGTTTAATGTTTATAAATATTTATTTCCCGTCCTGTGCGCCATCCAATGCAGATCATTAGCTTCATCCACATCTAGTTAAAACTAGTGTCATTGGATGAGTCATAATGCAAACACTCCTTGGTTAGCTAAAGGAAATCCTCAGAAGTGCTCTTCAAACTGCAAACATGAATTGTCTATGCCATTCTACAATGTCGGATTCAGAAAAAGATGCTAACATGTCTGAAAGGTCGGAACCAGGCGAGAGCGTTTCTGTCACGTTTCTGTCAGGACCCAAATGCAGAGGCAGAGAGGCTGAGATTTCTTGCAGTTTGATGATGAAAACAGTAAACAAAGGCAGGAATCCAAAAATCCAACTAAAAGTGTAAAGCAAACCAGAACCATGGAGACATCAGGGGAAACCAAACACGAGGAGCCAGAGAGAGACAATGTAGGAATACAACAGCATGAGAAGCCAGCAACGACAAGGAACCAACAAGAAGTGACAGCAGAGGGAGAGAATATATAGCTGACTGAGACAAAGGCGGGGCTAACGAGCAGATAAGGAGCAGGTGTGAGTGGAGACAATGAGGAAGCCAAGGGGAAAGGTACACACACAAGAGGGCAACAGAAGAAAACAACAGAAAAACCTGAGAACTAACATAAATCTAGAAACAACAACAAAATAGGAATTAAACCAATAAAACTGGAAAACATGAAACAAAATAAAGCACAACAGAACCAAGACCATGACAGTTTTGGAAGATGGAGACGGAGACAAACAAGACCTCCCTCATCCTTGGCCCGATCTCAAATAATTTTTTGAAACAGTTGAAAAACTGAGCTTTCAATTTATACAGTGGCATTTGGGTGCTTTTTTTATGTTACTTTATACTTTTATACTTTAAGTATTTTTTGGAGCACATACTTTTTCACTTTTACCTGAGTAAAAAGGTCAAGTTGATACTTCAACTTTTACCAGAGTGTTTTTAAATTGCAATATCTATACTTCTAATTAAGTAACAAATGTGTTAACTTTAGACACGACTGATATTTATAAAGTGTGAAGTTTTCTAGCTGGGGTCCTCTGATGGCCCCCTCTAGGTGCGCTCCTGTCCCTCTCTGAGCTGCAGCCGCTCCTCGGTCCCCTCCTCCCTCTCAGCCCCGCCTCCTAGGAGTGACTTGAAGCGAGGAGAGGCAGGCAGGGACCCTGCAGACACGCACACACACACGGACACGCACACTCTGAGCTTTCCTCGCCAGTAATGCCGTTTCCTTTTTAACGGGACAAGTTTAACACTGTTGGATACCCCGCTCCCCTCTCTGCGCGCCCCTTGCCTCTAATGTGAACATCTTGCCCAAATAGAGGTAAGTGCTGAAATACAAACACGCTGCCAGTTTTTTTTGTTTTGTTTTAGTCAGGGGGGTTAGATCTCCGGACCGGTTGTTGCAACTGAGGGAAGAAGCTGTAGGGATTTTTCCTTCCTTCTAACTGAAGGAAAGCAGGCTGGAAGAGGGAGGCATGTGCGGCTTGTTTCGGACTTTGTGGGTCAACCAAATGTTTATCAACCTGTAGTTAAGCCGGAGAAAAGCGCCGCTTCCGCTGCTTGTTACATTTAGCGGCGCGGTGTGAGATTAGAAGAGCGGCTCTTTCATCCCCTCCTTCTTGCAGCCACTGTACTTTTACACACACCCCCCCTCCTGCATGCAACTACAGTGTTTCCCTTTTGGATTGCTGCTGGGAAGGTTAGACGCTGTGCTGCACAGATTGATCACTTGAAGTTGCTGACCCATCACCAGTGGGATGGTTATTTGTTTGTTTGCTTTGTTTGCTTATCAAACTCAAATCTTCATAGCAGGAGGAGGAGCAGTGCTTCCTGATAAACTGTTGAATAAGAACTCTAGCAATTCAATATAAAGATAAAAGGTTTTGTTTATTTTGCTGGAAGTGTTTCTAATTGTATCCAAATTTGCATTAATTATTGTCTCTTGCTGTTTCATATATGTGGCTTACTGCAAATAACTGCACCATTCATTGAGGGATTCCACTTTGATGGTCTTGAATTCCAAAAATATACATAAAAAAGATTGAAAATAAGAACCTAGTCACTATATACAGTCTGAAAATTAATAAACATAATTTTTGCACTAGTTTAAGTAGAAATCTTACTAAAGTTTCATGATAAGAAAACTTCAACATATCAAATTTTGCATATAACACAGGTTGCATTTAACCCAGTTTTCCCTCAGCTTTCAATTCCATTTCCATCATTGCGATACTGATGGATTGGATGGATGGATTTTGTTAAATTAAGATTCTTTATTATTGCTTTTAAAATCCGGAAAGAGCTTCCCTCTCAGCAAATTATAGAAAGGTGATCCAACGTATCAAGAGCAATAGAAATACAGCAACCTCGATACTGCATCATTGTATAACTGTGATGGTGATATTTCCCATAATCACATTTCCATGATACACAGTTACATTCCACTGCCCTACATGAACACAGAAATGGGAATAGTCATGTAATCTTAATTGATTGATAGAAAGTTTAAATCTTTTAGTATCTTATCAAACAGTTTGGTGTTTCCAACCTTATTTGTAATGACAAGGTGGGTTTAAAGTTTCTATTACTGCTTGGTATACTTGTATCAGAGAAAAACTCTTAGAAAATGCTGAGACCTCACTGGGTTTAGTTTCTTGCTTTGAACATCAGGATTTCTGTAACTGTGGGTGAGGATGCTGCTGCATTAATTATCCTGTCACCTTGAAAACATTGCAGTAGAGCAGTAGTTATAAGGCCAAATATATGCTTCATCTCCAATACAATAATCTAATGAAGCCTGATATTTAGGCGTTCAGTTTCTCTTTTCCCACTCAGTCTTTTCAGAGATGGCCATCCTTTCAATGCGTTACCTTGTTCACATGGGCTTTTAAGCATCAGCAGAACATCCCCTGTTTGCTCTCCAAGCACCCTTGCTAGCCTTATTTTGGCCTTTTAAGTCTTTGATGCATTACGCATGTCTCATTGCACTTCTTGTGTGTTATTGTCAATAGTCATGCATCCAAACCTATCCAATAATTTCCTGCAGGCTCACATCACAACATATCAGGACTGGTGATTTTTTTTTTCTTTGTGTTTTCATGCTCAAAGCTTCCGGCTCATATGTCATGTGTTCAGTAGACTCATGACATCGGTATATAAATTCTTTGTCATTTTATTTTCAAAACTGGGTAAAGAGAAGTTCAAGCAGGTTTTCCTGTCTTAATGAAGTTGGCAAGCCAGTTTCAACTTGATTTAATTCATTTATTTATTAAATGTAATTTGAGTCGTGGTCTAAAGGTAACCTACAGCTGCACAGTAGGATCACAACTTAGATTGTTGCCTTGCATTGTTAAAGGTGATTATTAGGTATTAGTACAAAGTTTTAGTAAGACTTAGAGTCTTATTTGCCTATCACAAATGAATATGAATGATTTTTTTTATTGTTGAGTGGTTTACCAATGTCCTTATTCACTACTTACCATATCAAGTCATTTAAACTTTCACGTGCAACTTTTCTTAAGTTCATGTGCATGACACCCCAGGTGACAAGTGAGATTTGAACTAAAATATGCCAGTGTACTGTGTAAATCCGAAAGCTACAAATCGTTTTCTATTAATTTGTTTCTTTTAAACAATGCATTCCATTTTTGTTCTACTCACAGAAGCCTTTTTAAACGTTTCCAAAAGCGATATAGAGCAACAGAGAAGACGGTTTTAGTCTAAAGCCGCTTTCCCGCTGAAAACCCGGGATTTCAAAAACGGGTTGACCCGCTAACAATCGGCTTTTGGCTCTTTTCTCATTTGACCGAAAAGCCGAGTCTGAGAACCTGCGAGTAACCTGCTTGCCCACTGTCCCCCACCGCTGCTTGTTTGATGGCGGCATCAGGCTGTGTGAGCATTGATAATGTCAACAGTGCGACGGAAATCAGGGAAGTAAATAATGGAGACGAATATGGATGGGAGCCAGAGCACAGTTAGTATTCTGAATTATTTCGTTGTTTTATCTTTCCGAATCCCTCTTAACAGAGCTGCACCATGTTTAATGAATATAAACAGACTTGTTTCAGCTTGTTAGATCAGACGTGACTGGCGTGGTGTGTTGATGTCTGTATGTTGCAATCAATGGTGTCATTGGGTCTGCTGTTCCCACAGCATGCCAATCACAGCTGTGCTGATTTCAAGGCGGGTCCCTTGCCAAGTTGTTTGAACCGGGTAGACATGCGTCAGTGAGCTGTTCCCGCTGCCATTAAAAGCCAATTGTTCCTGGGTTTAAGGTTTTTTGGCCAGTGTGAAAGGGGTATATTAGATATGCTACACATAGCCTATGACTAAAGTACCATATAAGTGCCTTATAAAACAAGGGGGCCTTGGTGACAACCTGGTGGAACGCCACATGCAACCCTACAGTAAATCTGAGTCTCCTTTACCTAAACATATTTATATCTGTTATTAATGTAATTGCTCATCAAACAATGATATCAGAATGGTTTTTGAATAAGTTAGCATGCTGGTATGCTGGTTATTATATTTAAGTATTTCTTTTTAATATAAATGTATTTAACAGATAACTGTTCTCACACACTGATTTAAAGTTAGATTACAGCATTACAGTTCCTGGGAATTTAGATGATAAATTATTATGCATACTTTCTTTTCAACAGCCTCCTGTGGTTTTGGGGTTGTGGAAACATTCTGAAATCGATATTTTGCTGATGGTGACTTTCTCCCTTCAAGTGATTTAAATTCTGATTCTGTCTTTCCAAAGTACATTTAAATCAGCAAATTATGATTTTTTTCATACTTCTCAAAACTTAAGAGTGAAAAATATTCCTATGCTCTGTTTGTTACTCTGATTATTAAACACAGACATTCCTTCAGACTGCAACCAGCAGTTGCTCTGATATTTAAAGCAGTAAATCATTAGTCTTTCTAAACAATTTTGTAATGGCAGAATTAGATTCCTGCGAGTGTCTGAGTGAGCAGCCTCTGATCTCTGAGGAGCCCCACTGCTCTCCTTCACTTCTCCCTCTTCACTGATAAGCTGCCTCCGTAATATATTCTTTGTAATTTTGTAGCCTAACTGATGTTTAATTATTCCAACATAGAGATTTGACTGTAGCGTATGAAATATTGAAACAGAAGTAGCTCTGGAGGATCGGGCCGTTTCGAATACTTGGAAAGGACCGAATGCTGAAGAGGCTGGTAAATAAACCAGAAATAAGAGCAAAAAAAAGCAAACATTTATTTGTGTCTTGATAGGAATTACAAAATATTTTCCTTGACCTCATGCAGCAAGATATTTTTTTATAAGTAGCCAATATGTTTGCTCATTATTGAGAAGAGACTACAGTAGATCTGTTATTGGATGAGAAAGAGATCACTTACGAATCTGTGGAGTGGGCAGTTACCAAGGTCCTAAGAGGCCCCCAGAGTTCAAATTTTGGTCATTGCTTATGTTCTTCATTGTTCTTCTCCTTTGATGTGTAATTAAAAGTCTAGGGTTTTGTTTAGGAGTCCCTTCCTTTAATTTCTGAGAGGAAAAAAATAAAGAGATACGTACTTAGAACCCAGTAGCTGTCAATCAGCCTGCCATGTAGTGCAAATATCCAAGACAAAGCCACCTGAGGACTTTGTCTATTAAGCAAACACAGGTGTTTGGGTTGTTTCAGTAATATTACACTGATAAAGTTGTTAGCTTTCTTACAGCAAGGACACCCATACAGCGAGTCTCTAAAAGGCCTTAAATGTGCCTCAAGAGACCTACTGTGCTTGCTGCTCTCTGAGCTGTTCAGCTGAGAAGAGTCTGACACTTGTCTCTAATTGGTTGTTAGCTTTGGCTTCTAGTTCCACGTCTCTGTCCACGGTAGATTGAATTTTATTCAGTCAGTCTCTTCTCACCATGTCCCAAATACACTAAAAAAATCCAAGTTTTTCTTTGTGAACTCTTGCTTCCTTCTGCTTTTCTTTGTAATTATGCAGACAAAATTATAGAACACCAACTGAGATTGTAGGGAATCTGTAAGACAATTTCAGCATGCTCAAGATGAAACTATTTTTCTTTAAACAATATATGAATCAGCATTATACAAGCCAGCATCAGTGCATCACTTGGTTGGTTTCCCATTATGGCGAAAGTGTACCCTGAATTTATTTTCATGCAGTGTCCTCAGTGCATCAAAGTGTTGTTTTCAGACCTGGTGTGTGTACAGCTCGTTGCACGTTTTTGTCTTCAAGCATCTGCTGTAGAGAGTGAGCCACCAGTGGGAGTCAGTGAAGCGAGGCAGTAAAGAGGAAGTGACTTCATGGAGATTGTGGCTTGTA